GGTTACGGTGGGTGTGTGTGTGTGTTGTGGATGTGATAGCAGGTCATTTCAACGGTTAGTGGTGTGTGTGTGTGTTGTTACGGTTAGTGTGTGCGTGTGTTCTGGGGTGCTTGTCTTTGTGTGTAGTGGTGCAGTTGTATGGTCCGTTTAGCCTGAGTAAGGGCTAACGTACCTGAACGTAAGTTTTCAAGTCTGTGCTTTGTTGGAAGACTGATTCGCACTCACCGCAAAGATCGTCTCAGGGCTCTCTGGTGTGGGTCCTCGATTAGAAACCCTAAACCCTAAACCATATACATGTTCCATCGCCGGCACAAGTGCTTAAATACATATACTCGGCATTTAAACCACACAGTACGTACGATATGTCTTCCAACCCAGGTTACATACATGTACATTATGCCTATATACATATACTCGGCACTTAACCCACACAGTAAGTACGATAAGTCTTCCAACCCAGGTTACATACATGTACATTATGCATTTATACATATACTCAGCATTTAACTCACACAGTAGGTCCGATAAGTATTCCAAACCAGGTTACATACATGTATATTATTGTAGTGGAGGTATGTGGTACGTCGGGTACCAAACATGCACATAAGATCTTTTCAAGCTGCCGTCAGAGGCGAATTCATTCGGTGTGTATATGTGAAGCCCTGCTTGATCAACCTACAGGAAGATACAAATCTATGTACGTATACTTTCGTAACTTCAGTAACAATATTCTGTTCCATCACTGTATTGGTCGTAGATGTATACAGACGGTGGGATATGGATGTCGTTAGGTTTCTGCACGTCTTTGAATACATATCTGCGAATACACAGTACCCCGGATATACGAACATGTTTTAGGGTTTAGGGTTCTACTATGGGGTGCCCACCCATCATGATTCCCGATCAATACTCATACACACAATCAGTAGTCCTACACATCCGCATTACTGTTATCTTTCCTCAATTATTGAACACCACACGCACACCCCCTGTACAGACGCGCCCGTAGAGCTTCCCCGTGTAGCATCAAGTGGCAGAGCCGAGCACATATTCGATGATGTGTGAATGGAACGGCTGGGTTGTACGCTAACAAACGTAGCAGTGTGCGGTTAGTACTATAAATCTTCGCTACTGTGTGCGTACAACACCTGTGTGTACGAACAAAGCAGCAGAGCGGCGTTAGTATTGGTGCTGTGGCGTGTTTGGCTATCCTGACAGTGCCATACAGACGCCACCGACGGCACTTCCATGCAGCTGTGTGTTGTGGTGATGGTCCTAACCCAGTTGTTCAAAAGTGTGGGCGTAGCCAGCTCCTACAGAACGGCACGCCGGATCAAGGCCGATCGTCTGCTAGTACGGATGACGGCAACTCAACCCAGGAACCTCCCGTCTTATCACAAGGCGTTGCTTTAGTAAGAGCTGCAGAGCGCACGACTGTGTGGCACGTGCAACAACAGACATGTGTTATGCGAGTAGTGCTCAGACAGGTTGCTATGCAACGACAGCAACGGTACAGGGTGCATGGTACACATCGTACATTATGTAGGCCTGCTGTTGTGTATTATGCAGCCCAGCGGCTGCGAGAATATGTGGGAGTCGACCGCCTGAGCTTCCGCATGACACCACCGATACATTGGACCAGGCCGTGTGTCCAGTTAATTGGGTGCATAGGGCCGAGTGCGTGGGGAGGTGCGGCGGGAAACACCCAAGAACAACCGGTCCTGTCACCTCGTCAAAGTGGTCCCGCCAACCTAAGGCCCAGAAAAAAATGGACAGGAGCAAGAGGAGGTCTTGAACGGGTTGCTTCGTCCTGGCGTGGGAGTGGAGGGGATACCTATCCGCCAACGCTGGTGCACTTCTGTGCGTGCTGTCTAGGAATTGTGTGTGAGCGCAGATCCCGCACACACGCATGTGCGATAGCATGCGCTGAATGCACCACGGGACAGTACAAACGATACGGACAACAACCACTCCATCCGGTCCAGCCTACAATGCAACAGAATGGAATACTATACTTACGAGAAATACATATATATATATATATATATATATATATAGAGCACACATATACACATGTCGTT